ACTTTTTATTTGTTTAGTTATTTAGTTTTCATATTTTAATTTTTACTTTTATCTTAGTTATAGTCTTCTTTGATTAATAACTTGCTATTTAATCAATTCAAATCTTGAATTATATCGATTACTAGTGGCTTTACTCAGATAATCTTTATAATTTCTCTGATTTATTTTCTTTCTTTCTTTATTTATTTACTCTTTGTTAAGATAATATCTATAGATATTGGTATAGGTCTTAGAAATCTTTGTCATTATTGAAAGTATAGTCTAATTTCTCTCTCTTTATTCTTTAATTATTTCAGTCTTTCCTAACCCTATATTATTAAGATGAATTTAAATAAAATCTCACTTACCAATTCACCATAATAATAATTAGTAAAAAATTTATATACTATATTAATTTTAATTATTATTATATAATTATATAATAAATAATATTAATCTTATTTATTAAATAAAAATAAAATTTTTTATAAGATTAATAAAATCTTTTTATAAATTAAATCTTTACAATATTTATTTTATATATAATTTCTTTTATATTTTATAAAAAATTAAACTTTTTAATTATAAATTATTTAAATTAATAATATTATTTTTATTTTTAAATTAACTTATATTTAGAATAAATATTTTATTTATAAATAAATTATATTATTATTTTAATTTTTAATATTTTATTTCAAACTTATACTTTATAACTAAAAAATTTTATTTACTATTTTATTATACTAATTTTTTTAAATATTTTCAATTAAGTCTAATTTATTATTTTATTATATTAATTTATTTTCTTTATATTTATTCTTTTATTTTTATTTTTTATTTCTTTATAAAAAAATTAAAAGAAAAATCTCAAATTTTTTTTATTCTAAAAAACTTTCAATTATATTAAAATTTTCAGAATAATTTAGAATTCAATCTAATTAAAAATAAAAATTGATAAAATAAAAAATTATATATTAATTTAATATATAATTTCTTGATATATATTAAATCAAAATTATTATTTATTTTTGCTAAATATAAGAAATTAAATAATAATATTCTTACTAAATTTGATTTAAAAATTTATTTTAAACTAATATATAATTTTTTTATTTCTTTTCAAAATAAAAAATAAAACTATTTCTTAAATTAATAATAAAATATTTAATTTCAAAACAAATATATTAATTTTAAATTAGCTCTTTTTTAAAATAATTAAATTTTAATTTAATTTTAAAAAAGATACTTTATTTTTAATAAACTAATTTTCTAAAAATTATTAAATTTATTATAACTAGAAGAATTTAATAAATATATAATTAAATATAATAATTCAGTTTAATTTATATAAAAAATTAAAATATAATTTTCTAAATCAAAATATCATATTTAATCTCTCTAATCGAGAGAAATTAACTAATAATATTTTATTTAATTTTATTTAGATATTATATTTAAAAGTTTTATCCAGTTTTAATCAAGTTGATATTAGATTTTATTCTAGAAAATTTATTATAATTCTGGATATTTTCAGAAATTAAAAACCTGATGTTTTATGAATTTATTTATAGAATTTCTTTTAATTTATAATTATTAATTCATTATAATACAGCTTAGATTTTTTTATTATTATAATAGACATAGAATTTTAATATTTCTTTATGTATATTCATATATAATCTAATTGTTTAGCTAAAAAAATATATTGCTTGAATCTCATAATAAAAAAAGAAGTTATTATCAAATATTGATACTGATTCAATCTTTAAAAAAACTTATTATTAGTATTTGATAATAAAATCTAATTTGAAATAAATAAAATTTGTGATATTAAGCAGGATATAAATATCACGTCTCGACATCAAAGTTATCCATTGGTGGTAATTTTGATCATTATACATGTAAATGTACATATCGCATCTATAAGGAATTTTATTGGTCAAGCGTCACATGCAACAGAAATTTACTGCATAAAATGCAATCTATTTTGATTTCTATTTATGCCATATCGATATCTTTCCCAAATGTTTTTCTGCATTTCAAAATTAGTTTGGAAAATTACGTATACATATACATGTACACGTATATGTACATATCGATATATAGAGTTTGATCATCTTTACAGAACTGTTATCGTTATTATCGTTCTTTGCGAAAATCATTTTATTTTAAGAGACATGTATCGATATCGATATCGATATACGTATAAACAATAATAATATTTGAATGAAAACTAATAATGTGCACTTCTAATTATCTACCGAGACTTTGTCATCGTCTTGGGAAACCATCATTAATAAAAAACTCGAATCCATTTATATTGAGCAATCATTTCTCATCAACAACCACAACATCAAATAGGTTAAAAAATGGGATAGAAAGATGTAGATATGTGGCCTATTTACGGCGTTCCGATAATCCAGGTTTTTATTTTTAAAATACAAAAATATCTTCAAAAATATTTAATTTATATTATTACTTTTTCAGCTCTTCGAATTAGTCGAATGCCTCCTGCTCAAACGAAATATAAACCGCCATCAGCAGCGAACAATTCTAAAGATACATCAATCACTATCCCAGAGCATCCAGATAGTGTTTTATCATATGAGAAAATGCCTACGGGACTTTCTTCAATCCTTAATAATTCAGCATTAGTGGTCGTAAGACAATTAGAAATGTTGAATATCTTCTTGGTGGGCATATAAAAATATTAGAATTGATTTCTTATTGTGGTAATACTCATGTTTATTTTTTTTTGAATTTTATATTATCTAACCAAAGGGCTTCGAGCAAGCAAATAAATATGCTCTTCTCGATCCGGGGGGTAATTCAGTAGGATTTATTGCTGAAGAAGAGCAATCTTTTACTTCGACGCTTTTCCGCCAATTATTTAGAACTCATCGACCATTTCGTGCAGTGATCATGGATACCCAAGGAAATGTGGTGTTAAAGATTCGACGACCTTTTGCTTGGATTAATTCTAGAATTTTTATAAGTACGGGTGAGGAAGAGCCAATTGGCGAGGTTCAACAGCAGTGGCATCTTTGGCGTAGACGATATAATTTATTTGTTGGGTATGTCTTATAAAAATAATTTAATTCTTTTTCAAATTCATCATATTTATCCAAATTAAATGAATAGACGGACACAATTCGCAAGAATTGATGCACCAATATTGTCATGGAATTTCAATTTGGAGGATGAACATGGTGGAATTCTAGGGAATGTGAATCGAAATTTTACTGGATTCGGAAGAGAGGTGTGATTTTTAGAAATTCAACAATATCGATATTTCGTTATGTTAATTTAATAATAACTATTTTTTTTTGATTAATTAGATTTTCACTGATACAGGTCAATACGTAATTCGAATGGATGCAGCAGAAGGACACGTTCGAGGAATGACATTAGATGAACGAGCTGTTACAATAGCCGCAGCTATTTCAATTGATTTCGATTATTTTTCTATTCATTCTGAACACGGGTAATTAATTTTTGCTGTATTTTTTAAATAATTTCTTTTTGTTTATTCTCATTACGCTTTTTCTTTTGTTTCTGTTTTAAGACACTTCCTTCCATTCTACATTCCTTTTGGTGGAAATGATGAATTAGTAGAGGATACCGACAATATTATTGCTATTGGAAATTATAATGATCTTGTTCCTCGTCAAGAAACTCCATCTGATACTTTTATTACTCCTAATGAGTCGCCTTTATTCCGAAAAAGAGAACAAGAGGTTACCAAGCTAGGGTTAATTGGTCCATCCGGTCTAACGATTGATGGTCTTTGGAAAAAATTGAAGTACCCAGACTTTAATGTTCGACTCAGTCCAGCCCCAAACGATTTAATGTTTAGCCTATATAATAATATTTTATTTAATAACAAAGAAGCTTCAATAAACCATTATTGATTTAACGGCATTGTCTAACCAATTGCAACGAAAAGATGTATTCTCAAACATCTATTAGCGTTAGGTCTCTATCACTATTGTTGGAATTGGTAGTGTTCTAAGTATATTTTGACCATGTAGTTAGTGCTTTTTCATATATTCGACAACGATCTCTGCGTGATATTTTAGTAGTCATTTCCTCCCTCATATAAAATATTACCTGTTATGGCTTACATTAACGTTAACGATTCCAGTGTTTCTGGGAAAAATATAAAATCGTGAAAATGTTAATGGTTGGATTGCACGCCACACTTCGCAAACAGATCACGTCCATCATATAAAAGAACGAATCTGATTATTCAGTATGTATTAATGATTCCCGGCATAGTTGTTCATTGATTCTTTGTGTATTTTTGACAGAAATTCTCCCATGGTTATTTAAAATTGAAGGCTGTTGTTAATCTAGACTAGCGTATGAAAACAACTGTCGTATCAAGGCAGGCAAGTACGTAACAGAGTATAACATCGGCATAGTTATGCGATGGAATTGAATAGCAATTTCCTGCGTATTTCAACTATCGTATTTTTTGACATTACCGTTACGTAACTGCAAAAAAACGTGCAATCTGCAGACTTGCAAAACACTTGTACATTGTAACGCCAAACAAGAAGCATTCGATTTTGTTCATTAGACAGCGGCTGTATAAATACGCATACAATAAAAACGGTAAATGTCTTTCTGAAAAACATTCTAACTCATTACGGTGGCAGTGTAATAAAGGCCATGAAAATGGTACATAGTGTCCATATTGTTCCAAATATAAACGTGAAAAATTGTGCCGAAAGATAATTAACAAATATTTGGGTCCGCCGTCAGAAAATCGCTGAACTGATTTCTTAAAAAACATCAGAGTATCCATCAGGTTTGCAACTCGATATACTATAAATATGGTTTTGCAATTGAAGTTCAATGAGAATAGCCACCTGATGCTAAGTTATTTGCAATCTGTGCTGCAATAAAAGAAATATATCAAGAAGTATCAACTTCTCATGAAGCTGCTCAACTAATTAAAGAATTTACTGATGTATTTCCTAATTCACGTCCTAATGAACTATTACCAAAACACACTATACTGTAGATCATGCTATTGATTTGATACCTGGCTCTGAACTATCATCTTGTTCTACTTATTGTTTGTCTTATGTTAAAATGGATGAATTAAAGAAACAACTATCTGAATTACTTAATAAAGGTTTTATTTGTCCAAGTCTTTCATCATTTGGAACATCTGTCTTATTTGTGCATAAAAAGGAAGGAATTCTTTGACTTTGTATAGATTATTGCATCTTAAATAAAATTACAATTAAAAATTGCTATTCTTTACCTCATGTTGATGAATTAATAGATTGTTTAGCTGGAGCACAATACTTTTCTAAATTGGATCTCTACTCTGGATATCATCAAATTAGAATCAGAAAAGAAGATATTCATAAAATTGCATTTAGAATGAGATATGATTACTATGAATTTCTTGTACTATCATTTGGTCTAATCAATATGTTCATCACTTTCATGACTCTTATAAATAATATTTTCCATAACTATTTGAATAAATTTGTTATTATCTATCTTAATGACATTCTCATATTTAGCAATACTAAAAAAAAAATCTTAATCATCTTTATATTATTCTTTTTAAACTTTATGAATATAAATTATATGTCAAATTAAAAAAAATGAACTTGTAAAGTAATATATTGAATATTTAGATCAAGAAATCTCAGTTAAGAAATCTCAGTAAATTAATATAAAGTTATTACTATTTGTAACTGGTCTTAACCAATTAATATCTCTGAACTAGAAATAATGCAATATGTGATACTTATTTATTATCTATTATAACATATTATAATTCTAAAATTTTATAAGTTATAACTAGTTATAACTAAATAATATTTATTTATCATCATGTTATAATAATTGAGATGCTATCTTTACTTTGAATTTTAATTATTTCTAGATCTTGCTAATTATTATAAAAAATTTGTCAAAGAATTTTCTGTAATTATCTTATTACTTATAGTCTTACTTCATAAAGATCATGAGTATATTTAGAATAGTCTAAATAAAAAATATTTAATAATTTAAAATAGTATTTAATCACTTTACCTATCTTAATTTTATCAGATCCTAAATTACTCTTTATTATAATAACTAATATATCTGAATTTACTATAGGAGTTATTCTTAGTTAAAATTATAAAAAAGAAGATTAATCTATTACTTAGAAATTACATAAATTATTACTAGTCAAGCAAAACTATTTTATACATAAAAAGGAACTTCTTGCTATTATACATACTATTTATCTTTAGAAATTATATTTAGAAAATTAATACTTTATTATTATTACTAATTATATATTTCTTAAATATATTAAAATATAGTATAATCTTTCTAAATATCAAGCTTATTAGCTAAAAACTTTATAAGTTAATAATTTTATTATTAAGTATAAATTAGAAAAAGAAAATATTATCACTAATACTTTATCTTATCTATCACAAATAAATAATATTACTATAATCTCTATATAACTAATCAATAAGAAAAAGTTATATCAAAAATATGAAAATAATAATTATTTCAAGAAAATTTAGATAGCTTTACATAATTTTAAACCAGTCATATTAAAGTAATAATTAAAAATATATTATTTTAAACTGAAAAATAATAAAATTTATTTAAAAGATACAAAATGACTTGTTATATCAAAGGATAAATCTCTTAAAACATGAACCTTGAAAGAATATCATGAAATTTTTATCTTTAATTATCTTGAAATTAATAAAACTTATAAGCAATTATAATAATGTTACTATTAGCCAAAAATATTTAAGAATATTTATAAATATATTCTCAGTTGTGAAGAATGTCAAAAAAATAAAAGTAATAATTAATCATTCTTAGATTTTCTATAATTCTTGAAAATATTTAAATAGTACTGAAAATAAATTACTTTGAATTTTATTATATAATTATCTATAACTTATCAAGAATATAATATAATTACAGTTATTATAGATCATCTTATTAAATATACTTATTTTATTCTATATATTATATTTGAAGTTATCAAACTTTTCTTTAATAATACTTTTAAACTATATAAATTATTTTATATTATAATTTCAGATTGTGATACTAAATTTACTAATTACTTCTGAAAATTTCTATTTAAATAAATTAATATTAAATTAATTATATTAATTATATTTTATCTAGAAACTAATAAATAAACTAAAAAAATAAATTATACTTTGAAAGAAATATTAAAAATCTATTTTACTTATAATTAAGATTACTAGGATAAATATCTTATTATTACTAAAGTTATATATAATAATTTTATATATATTTTTTTTGATTATATATCTTTAAAATTAGATTATAATCAATATCTAATTATATCTTTAATATTTATCTTTGACAATAAAGTTATTATTACTAATAAATTCATTTAATATTAGAATAATATGATAAAAAATACAAAAGATTTATTAATAAAAGTATAGAATTATTAATTTAAATATATTAATCAATATTATCATCATCAAGAATTTAAAATTAGAGATCAAGTCTTATTTTTAACTCATAATATTATTGATCTTGTAAATAAATAATATTTTATAAAAAGCTTATATCTAAATATATTGATTCTTTTTCTATTCTTGAAGTAATTTTATTTATTATATATAAATTGAATTTATTTTTACATATGAAAATTCATTCTATCTTTTATATTTTATTATTAAAATTATATAATCCTAATAATAATAAAGAATTTATTCATTTAATATTATCATAACTAATTATTATACCTAAAACTAATAAAGAAAAATATAAAGTTAAAATTATCTTAAATAAAAAAATTATTTATAATAAATTATAATATTTAGTTAAATAGTTAAATTATTTTTTTTATAATTCTATTTGAGAATCTTTAAAAAATCTTTGCAATATAATAAAACTTATAAAATCTTTTGAATCAAAATATTAATAAAAATATTAATTTTTAAGAGAGAAATAATATAACAAATTATATTTTAATTTGCAAATTATTATCATATTATATACTGCACTATATATAATATTATGTCACAAAAATCATCTTATTTTTTCAAGAAAGTCACATAATATATTTGAATTATTATAATTATAGATAGTTTTCTTAGTAAAATTTCTCTTTTCTCTTATTTTACTAATTTAACTAGTATATTACTTAATTTATATATTTTATTTATTATTATTTATTTATTTATTAATAAGTATTTTCTGAAAATACTATTATATAAGTATTATTTTTTATTAAATTATTATTTAAAGATATTATTTCTATTCTATATTTTTAATAATAATAACATAATAATAAATAAAGAATAATAATCTTGTTTATCTTGAATTAATTTTCTATATAAATTTTATTTTAATTACATTATTATATATTTTAAATCTTCTATATGAACTTTTCTAATATATATTATATTATATAACAAGAAGATTATAATTTTCTAACAATATCTTTTTAACTATTAGACAAATAAAGAATATATATCAAAAA